TGGCTATTGAGACCCATGTGAAATAGAGCTGAAGTTCTCAATCCAGATCTCAGTGGACAGATGAAGGAGAAAAGATTTTTTTTTTAAATCACACATCAAGGTTGATCCTAATAGACAGTCTCAGAAGAGAGTCCAAATAAACCTAGAGACTGAGCTACCTTCACATTCCAAGAGATGGTCCTTCTAGCTTGGTTTTGAGGTGCATTAGTGGGCTATCTGGTGAAAACCTGTGGTGTACCCCTAGATTAATAGGGGACTTTTAGTTGTCATTGCAACATTTTTCATATACATTCAATTCACTTACAGTGAATTGTGCCCTACTCTGAAGGTGTTCACAGCTCCAAAAGCAGCAGAAGACCAGTGTTGCCAACTTTCCTGATTTCATTGCAAGTCTTGTGATATTTGGTGCTTTCCCTAAAGCTCCAGCTCCTCCAGTATATGAGTACGCCTGTGAGTACATGAGCAGCTAATAAGTTTCATGGTTATGGAGAAAAGCTTCACAACCTTAATGCAGAATTTCATTATTTCTGAAGGCTGTGAGGTTGGCAATACTTCTGAGTTATGAAGGAACCAAGAAGGGTATGGGCCACAGAGAGGCTTTGTGCAAAGGCAGCCTTAATTCTGGCATTCCCAGCTTTAAGAACTCAGCATTGCAATCTTAACAATATGTGTCTATAATTTCCTTGGTTTAAAAAACCGCAAACTGAAAAAAATATAAAATCCATCAAGTTGTAATATACCTACATCCACATAGGTCATCAGCAGGACTGGAACTGGTAGCAGTAATATGTGGTCACCCTCTGTGTTGACCAGCACTAGAGACGGGTGAGACACGCTTTACCAATGGATTTCACAGATATTTCTTGGCAGCAGAGGAATGGCAAGACTCAGGAATCTTGGGTTTGATTTTAGGCTCTGGCGGTCAGTGTGCTGTAGGTACTCTGGATGCAGACTCTTCTGCCTGTTCTCCCAAGCATGACCCCTTCTGCCCTGTCCCATCCAACCTGTTCCTGTCTCAGTTCTGTCTCTTAACACCTCTGTCTCTTCATCCCAGTCTCATTCTCCTCACCTGTACCGTGTTAGACTCCATTCCTCGGCTTCTGATCCTAGTCTCCATCTCCTTGCCGAGCCAGTTTCAGTTCCCGCTCTCTCTGGACTCCCCATCCCACTCCCAGTTTTCCACCTCCTAGTCCCAGTCTGCTAGGCAATTCATTCTCAGTTACCTACCCTCCACTTCCTGGTCCCCAGTCTCCTTGCCCAGACTACCCCAGTTCCCCTCTCGCAGCTCCTTATCTGATATGTCTCTCTCTCCACACACCTTGGCCTCCAGTCACCCCGCAACCTATGTTTCCTGTCCTTACAGATTCCCAGTCCCCAGTTTCTCTCTCCAGGCAACTTGTCCAGTCTCAGTGTCCTCCTCCAACATGTGGCTCCCAGTTCCAGTTTTATTTACCCACCCAATCCCAGTTCTTCTCCTCCACACTAGCTCCTCATCAGCTCTCTCTTATGTACCCACTCCCTCATTCCCTTCCATCCACCCCACTGTTCCCAGTCCAAGTCTCTTTGCCAAGCTACTCCTAGTCTTCCCTAGTGTGATTCCCAGCCTTCCCTGTCTTCCAGATAGGTCCTGTATGCACAGCCTGTTCAGTCAGGTTTTGCACAGGGGGCCAGGGATATTCCCCCATCTCACTGAAAAACAGGTCCCATTACACAATAGCATGCAACATGGGATAGTAAGACCTATTATATTGACCTCACTAAAGTAAAATAAAAAAGATGTAATTTACTCAGCACTGTGATTCATCAAATGGCTCTGTAGGTTTTGTATAATTATTCTTTGAATTACCCTTAGGAAATAACAGATTTTAATATTATATTTATCATCAAACTTGAAGAAAAAGCATATTATGGATATTGCACAATACTCACACATCTAGAACTTTGAGCATCAGAGGTGTCTTGTATTTTGTTAAAGCTCGGAGTGTTAGATTAAAAACAAGAGTTTGGAACTAAAAATAAAGGCTAGCAAGAAATTGCAGCAAATACAGAACTGTGCTGTTTGGTCCTCCAGGTAAAATATATTGTGAAATCAAAGTATTTTTCGGACCTAGCTCCATACCCGCAGGCTCCATTTGTCCTGTATTTTATGAAAATGAGAATGTTATTAATAAGTGACTGTGAACAGTGTGCCTGCATTTCTGTAATGACGGTGAGATAGCTACATTGGCTTTTTGTTGAATAATGGTAACTTTTAAAAAAAAAAAAAAAAAGATGAATTAACAGAGACAGAAATGGAAAGAAATAAACTCATATGGCCTTAGTGTTGCCAGATTATGCAAATACCATGTTTTCAGAATTTAGATTTTTTCCTCCAAAACTGCTCTTTTGCCAACTTTCATTTTAAATTTGAATTTGTGTGACAAAAGTTTTGCAATTTTCAGTATGTTCATTTGACATTCATTGTGAATTGGTATAAATGTAAGCATTATAAAAATAGTGTTAAACAGTTTGCAAGCTTTCAACACTATAAAAAGTTGAACACACAACATGTTATAAAATGTGCAAGTATAAGTAAATATTTGTATAAATATTTGTATATGCATCCGATGAAGTGAGCTGTAGCTCACGAAAACTTATGCTCAGATAAATTGGTTAGTCTCTAAGGTGCCACAAGTACTCCTTTTCTTTTTGCGAATACAGACTAACACGGCTGTTACTCTGAAACCTGTATAAATAATGTACATGAAAGATGTTGATATATACTTACACTTGACCATTTTATAATATATATTACCACACAGACACAACATTTTCATAAATATATGTAAATGTTAAATGGATTGTAAAATGTGGGTTAGTGTTATTGCTCTTAAAGAGGCACTGTCAACTTGTAACTCCCAGGGTTTGAAGAAGATTTAAATAAGGTGTGAGAAATGTCACAGCTTTGCTTCACATGGGTTCCTGCAAACATTCAATTTGATTTAAATCCATATGAATGCATGCTTTTCTCATTGGGTTTTCTATGCATTGTGAGTGTGAAATAGAATTTCAAAGCCAAACAATCAAAACTAGACTGGATAAAATATTTTGACATTTCAAAATTGCAACAAGAAATGTCAAAAGTTATTTGCCAGTTTCCATTATTATTATATTTTCTTTTTCAACCAGTTTTAGTCAGAGCCTCCTAGATCTCCCTGGTTTCATGTTTAAGCCAGGCAAAATCACAAACTCCACATGGTTTAAATGCAAAAGCATAGACCTGTGGTGTATGTGACATACACGAAAGGGTTAATCTTATTTAAAAAATCCTGCCCTTTGGGTATATTCAGCCAATGCACATTCTGATATACAGTGCTTCTGTCTTGTTTCATTGGTGAGGTGTTCTAACAGTCAATATCTAATTGGAAAAGTTGAGTGGGTGGAGTTCTTTGAAAATTAGTCTAAACTGGTTCTCTGGCTTAGTGAAGACTCCAGTTCTGCTGAATTAAGTTTAATGAAACAGGTTTTTTTTAAATCCAATAACTATATATTTGTATTTTCAAAAGGTTGTTAGAGCTAGATATATATCAAGCATGTGCTTGGGGTGAACTCCAGGCCCATTGACTTCAAAGGGGCTAGGATTGTACCCTTGACATCTTCTGCACTAGTCTATAAGGCATCTGGAATACATGAAGTTATACAAGTGTATGTTGTTCTCTTAAATATACAGATCTCACAGTATATGGTAGCAGGTGGCTTGGGTGCAGAAAAATTACTATCTATTAGAAGTTTGTCTGGGCTTTTTCGCCACTCTCAGTTTCCATGTATCATTGGGTCTATTGTGTGAGTATTTTATTCAAGGGTCTAACTTTCTTGATATCTTCGTCATAGGTTTTGAGTAATTGGTCTGTTGGGACTCATCTGTCCTCAAAGCAGACATGAAGTTGTCTGATTTTAGCTGCTTGTCTCCAGGCTCTTAAGCATAATTATTCCAAATGCCACAAAATCAGCCTGGAGTGGTTCAAAACAGGACCCAAGTTCACATGAAAGATTTGTGAACCTTTCAGAGAATCTGGTCTAAGTTTAAACTTTGCAAGGAAACTGAAACTCAGGTAAGGTACATCTGGCTTTACTGTGAACATTTTGCACAGCTTTTCTTAACTCTGTCCTCATCTAGTAAGGAATCATACATACAATAAAAATACCAGGTTGTTGAAAAAAACAGAATGACCTCATCCCCACACACCTCAATATTGTTTATGCTTTGTTAATCAATTCCTGTGCTCTGCTACTCCAGAACCATCCAGTAAGAAAAGGGAAGGAAAGCCAAATATTAAAAACTAATTATAGACTAGAATCATACAACCATCAGGAGGGAAGGGACCCCAAGAGGTCATCTAGTCCAACACCCCCATGCTGAGGCAGTTCATGCACAGCAATTTATAAATCCATTTGAAGGCTTTGTCCAGGGAAATAGGTGTTTGAATTTCTGGCACAGCTTTCTCCCAATAGATAACCAATGAATAATATGAAGTTTACATCTGCACCAATACAAAGATCTCAGGAACAAAAATTTTTATTTCCCCCACAATTTCTGCATATCTCATTCTTATCAGCAGGTCACTTTGCCCAGTCTGAAATTCTCCTAATGAAGTGAATGTGGGGGCAGAGCTGGGCACTTGCAACTGATTTGATGGCAATTTCCTGCAATAGCCTTGAAAAGCCTGATTGAATTAAGTGTAAGTATCTTTGGAGTCTATATTGTGACCACCCCCTCTGCCCCAGAAAGTGTTATGAACTTCAAAGGACTACACTGAACAATCAGCCGGAATGGAATTTTGGACAAAACTTGTTAAGTTGTTTGCCTGGGCAATCTCTAGTGGGAGGTAAATGAAAATTCCTACCTCTGGTTATACAAAAGACCAGTCTTTTGAAGCTAAGCCCTGAGGAGGGAATCCTTGTCTACTGATTATCTGTTCCCGGAACCTGAAGATGAAAGGCCCACGCTGTACAAAGGAAATATTAACCTAAGCATGGGTGTGCTAGTTTTGAATTTGTAAAAACAGAAAACAGCTTTGGTGGGGTTTGAAGCCCTTGTAGGAGTGGAGGGTAAACTCTGGTAAGTTTATTAGCATGTGTATACATTCTTTTATTATTTTTAATGTTTTCTGTCTAATGCTTTTGCTTTAAGAATAAATGTGCTGGCTTAGAAAGAGCTGTATTTTAACTTATATCTGTGAGCAATTATACTGTTTATAGCTTCTGAGGAGAAAGCAAGAAGCACAGACTCTGGCCAGTTTAGGCAGTCTGGCTTGTTGGGAATAACACAGTGTAAGCAGGGAACTGGAGCAACCCCATCCATAAGGGAAAGAGAAAGGGGTTTCCACCCAATAGAGGTGACAGCTGGGGAGCCAGAAGCCTAAAAGTGGGTTCCTTTGGTAGACCATAGAATACAGGTGTTCAGTTGCCCTGAATAGTGAAAGTGATGGCCATCGTATTATACATATGAAAAATCACTGGAGCTTGTAACACAATATTTCTGGTACTGTATAAAAGAGAAAACAGGGAAGTAACTATGTATAAAATATCTGTCCATTTGGTCATGATTACTTGTCTCTGCTTAGAGGTGCAGCGCAGAACTCACAGGCCAAAGGGACAGGATAAAGTAGCTTTGTAAAGCCTGAATTTTGACTGGTTGCCAAGCACAGAATAAGTGTTTTATTTTCAGGTAATATTGTAACTCTCATGTTTTGTCTTCAGTTAAATGCTAAGAAATTGCTGTTATAACAAAAGTTAGCTAATGCAGGTTAGCTAAACTGAATTAAGAATATACTTTTTTTCTGTGTAGCCATAATGTACAGGTAAATGACAAATGAGATCTGACTTGAGGAGATTTGACAGCTATTGATGTCCTCATATTGGGCTAGATCATCCTCCTGCTGTGTTAAAAGTTGTCGGAGGAAATCTCCACGGGCTTTCCCTCACTGAGGTTCCTCAAGATTATACTCCCAGGGACCAGGTTTACTTCTCTGTGGAAAAAGAGGTGTATCCCACTTGCCCATCCTAGGCTCAATGGGAAGCAGCTGCCTGGAGACCCTGTGTGTCTGTTCCAGCTCTGGAATGTCAGTACCCTCATCTGCATTGCAGCCACACTATTGAGGAATCATCCTGGCTGCACAGTCCGTTGGAATCCTGAAATGGCTTTACAAGAAAGGTAATAAAGCCTGGGTCTATACTACAATTTTCAGGTAAAGTCCACGGAATGAGAGGCAGAACAATGCCTCCTTGCCCCTATCTCAGCCATTCCATCCCCTTCATCCATCATAAAACCATGGAAGGCATGCCTCTGGGACTAGAAACAGCAGGAGACAGTGCTATGGAAGTCTATGAGGGATGTGAGGATTTGGTCCATTGATATTATGCAGCAGAAGTTACCATAAAGATGGGGTGACTGTGATCGACTAGGCCTGAGGTGCAAAGGCAGAACTGTGTAGGGGAGTTCCTAAAATGCCTGCATTTACGGTGCTTGTTTCTAGCTTACAGAAGTCCTTCTAAAAACTTTTAATGAGCATTACATTTTATGAAACTTACAGAGAAGGTCTTCTACATTAGTGAAGCTAGTCTGTTCATTTCATATTCTTTTCTGGTACATTTTTAATAGACCTTTGAATAATAACAACAGCTGTCTGTTCCTACCATCAGCACACATGCACTTTAGTGTATATGGGAACGCTGGAGAATTAATGAGGACAGAAGACAGAAAAATGATTAGATATATTCTAATGGGGCTTAAAACAATTAATTATTCTCAAAAACAAGAAATAATTAAGATTTGGTGCTTGTAAACCTCAAATGAAATAACACATCTGTTTTGATTCTTCCCTCCACCCCCAATTCTCTTATTGTTCTAGAAATTGTGGGAATGAACAGTAGTCTACTAAAGGGAAGAATAGAAACTAAACATACTACACTCATTGTTAATATGAAGAAGAAACATTGCAGGTAATAGTTGTTAACTGGGATTCCAAATTAATTTGTAGAAATCTACATGGGAATATTGTTTATTATTAATTTGTAGAAATCTACATGGGAATACATGGGAAGGATGAACAAGAAATACACATCTGACCAGGGAGATAAGTTTGTCTGATTCCCACACACAAAAAAAACCTTAGTTGTGGGAGCTTAATTTAAGGTTGTTCAAGTGCATTTTCTACCATGAAATCATTTTAAAAAAAATCAAGGAAATTGCTAATTAAAGCAACTTTAACATTCATCCCATCCTCACCTCCATGTAACATCATGGGCACAGAGGCATGTTAACGGGTGCAGAAGGCTGTAGTAAGAAATCAGAGGGGGGTTGGGTAGGGATGCTAAGGCACAGAAGTTTTCCATGAAGATATGTTAATCTGTTTGACCACCCTTCACACACGCACGCTCTCTCTCTCTCTCTCTCTCTCTCTCTGGTGAAAAATACAACAGTTTTGAAAAAGAAACCAAAAAATGGTGTGGAAGTTTACATTCCCCCACCCCCACAAAAATAATAATCTTGTTGTTCATAGAACAGAATCCTAGGACTGGAAGGGACCTCGAGAGGTCATCTAGTCCAGTCCCCTGCTCTCATGGCAGGAATAAGTATTATCTAGACCATCCCTGATAGATGTTTTTTCTGTCCCTGAAACTTTTGGTGAAATTTAAAGTTTGTGACTTTTGAAACTGTTATTTAAGTGGGACCTTACAATAGAATCTGTGGGAAAATTTTAAAAAGGAGTGATTTTTCAATCTTTTAGATTTCTATAGTAGCTGTGTAAAACTATAAAATTTGTCCATCTTTGAGAATAATTTCTGTGACTTCTCTGTTTAATTAAGGAACTTGCTATACTCTTTAAGGCCCTGATACACTAAAACACTTAAGCACATGCTTAGGTTCATCCTTATTCAGCAAAGCACTTAAGACTCAATTCAGCAAGGCATTTAAGCACATAAGAAGTCACAGAGGCACATATGTTCTTTAAGTCAGGCCCATGCTTAAATATCTTGCTGAACTGAAATTCATTATATCTTAAGCATGAGATTCTTTTCTGAGCCCATGCTTAAGTTCTTTGCTGAATCAGGACTAAAGTAGCAAACTCCAGGGAGCTTTAACTATGGAGCAATGCTAACGCATCTCCATAAGAAAGAAGCATCAGGCATTGAATATAATCATGTTTCTGCTAAAATATTTGGTAGCTGAGATCAAGATCAGCAGTTTAATAAGCAGACAGGGCTCTTTGACGAATAGGTCTCAAGTAGCATAGCAGCTGTGTGGTCTCTTAGTTTATGGCTCCACTGGAATGAAAAGCCTGCAGCACCAAGGGTCAGAGCTTGGGTCAGCTGACTCGAACTCACAGGCTAGACTGCCAAGCTAAAAATAGCAGCATAGATGTTCAGACTCAGGCTAGAGTAAGGGTTCTGAGACCCTCCCCACTTTTGAAGTCTGAGTCCAGGTTCCAGCCCAAGCCCAAACATCTACACTGCAATTTTATAGCCTTGCTTCCCAAGCCCCAGGAGACCATCAGCTGACCCAGGCCATCCATAGCTGTGCCGAGGGTCTTTTACTGCAGTACCGACATACCCTGAGGTGAATGGAGATTAGAAAAAGCATGTCACTCAAAAAACACACAAAGCAACCGTAAGTGCTCATAGGATAAACCAACTAGTCACGGATTAAAGAAGTAGTGCATATCACACTGAAAAAATACTGCCTTGTCTGGAAGCACTGTATAGATCGAAGTCACAACCGTTCATACAGCTCGGCCTCTTGATTTACATGTCCCAGGTAATGCAAAGGAAAGAAATAACTATGTGTTGTGAGCTCAGGAGCAATTCCTGAAGGTAGATAGAATGCTGACATAGCTACACAACTACTTAAATAGCCTCTTGATGTAGAAAATTGCTCTATAATTTTTACTGCGCCACAGCAGCTCCCAAAAAAGCAGGCATGGTGAAGAATATTGGCCCATGAAGCTGTCAATTTACATCGGTTGAGAATCAGCCCATTAAAGAATGTGCTAGAAATAATTAGAAAAAAGCAAAGGTGAGTTGTTCGATAACATTAAGTGGGGCAAGAGGCCCCTGTTTAAAGAAACTATTTATAAATGTGTGAATTTATTTTTTGTTAGTGGTTCCAGAATGGTGAGATGCTGAATCTGACATTGCAAATGAGATTTTTATATTTTTTTAATGAGTGCCTACAATTAGGCTGCCAAGAACGTTTGGCCAGTTTTTCAAAAGCGCTGTCTGCCCTCAGCTCCCACTGAATTCTGGAACAAGCTCTGCTCCCAGGTACACCTGTATTACCCCCAGTAGCTTCATAAAATGCAAATCTGAGCCTGTGTATCTATTTGTCTGTCTACAAGCCTGTCCTCTGGTGACAGGGGGGAAGGGGATATTTCTGTTCCTACTGCATAGCTCAGACTTCCATTTCTTTTAAACTAATAATAATTAATAAACTGAATCGCCCTGGGGAGTTGGGATTTAAAAAAAAAGGGTCGGGGAAAATTTCACAAACTAAAAATTGTTCTCTGAACCCTCCAGGCCCCAAAATACTTTTGATAATTGAAATATTTCAAATTCCATGCAGGGACCTATGCCTAATATTAACTTACATATTCAAATATTTCCCCCTTTTTTGCCATAGGGGGTTATGGGAGGGCAGGTATTCTAATCTTGCATTAGACCTTTTTCTTGAGAGGTCATCCTACATTTTATAAACAGTCCTCAGTGTATTAAAATAAGTGCTACCATACATTGCAATATTTATGCTTCCTTGACCACTGGTGAATGGTGTGTCTGAGTTATATTTAATTCCCTTTGGTTGGTATATCCAGGATTGATATATTAAAATGATTGTGTTTTCATTTTGAAATCTTTGAGAAGTCTCAAACACAGTTGAAATGATATCTATGCCTTTATGATGAGTGGTTGCACATTTTGGATATAAAGAATAGGAACTCTTGACTTTTCATATGATCATTTTATTACATTATGATATAGCAGCAGATTATATTGCTTTTATGATGGCCCAAATTGAAAAATAGGTATAATTTAATAAAGATTCTATGGAATCATTCTTTATTTTGTGGGGCTTGCTTTCAGCTTCTCTCTGAAGCCAAACCATAACATACTCCACTTTGTGGGGGGGGGGGAGGGGGGGAAGAAAGGAAATCATTACTGAATAATTATGCCAACTGGTGCAGGAAATAAGCAATTAGAACTTGCACATAGAAAAATCAATGATCCCAGTCAATGTCCTACAGCACTTAATAACTAAAAGATAAGAGTGTAGACATATGGTACTAATATGTGGCCTCCAAAACTAAAAGATTTAATGGAACAGTAAGATAGAGAGGCTATTTGCTTTAGTAGCATACAAAACAAGACAATAATAACAATAATAATAAAGCTATAGACATTATAGGTAGATAATATACATGGAATTATTGTCACTTTCCAAGTGATTTTTCAGTGTAGAATTTTCATAAAATAGAACTTTATGTTGCAGGATGAAAGATGATACTGATCATATGGTCATGTACTAGTCCTTTCCTGCGTCAAAATTTAAAATGGACGAAGAGAGAAAACAGAAGCATAAAGAAGCATTCCTTCTACAAGAGCTCAGCAAAATGTTTGTATTAAATTAAATGTGCTTGCTTATTGATTGGGTGTATGTTTTTTGTTTTATTTATTTTGGAGTGTTTCTGGGGGGATATCTTGGTTATGCATTTTTCATAAAAATAATTAAAAATAATAATAGAGTAATAACTGACTTTGGATTAGTCACACACTTAAGTTCCTCACTGAATCAGGGCCTCTATTGCTGTTCTTGTTTCTTAGTGTAACTTATCTTTCTCCCATTGCTCCACCAGCAATATCAGCCTCATAGCTTTCTCCTTCATTTCCTTCTCCCACTCTAGCCTTCATACTATCTTTTATTCCATTCCTTCTTCCTGAATTTTCTCCATCTCAGGTTATTCAGTTCCACCCTCTCTTCATTTAAACCTGTCACTGAAATTCACCTCACCCACAAGGCCCAAGAAATGGCAACCCATGTCAATATGACGCTATCACCACTACTGTCTGTGTGGATGGTTGTAGGTGTATATATTTAAAGTTCTAAGTTCTTAGTCATCGGGTCTCTCTCAGAGAGTTCTTAACTGATCTTTGTGTTGCAAATTGTAAGTTCCTTGGGAAAGAGCCTGTGTCTTTATTTTTGTTTTGTGCAGCATTACTAAGTATACTAGTGCTGGCAATTTAGAAATAAATAATAGATTCATAGATTCCAGTGCCAGAAGGAACCATTGTGATCATCTAGTCCGACTTCCTGTATAACAAAGGCCATAGAACTTGCCCCAAATTATAATAATTAGTTATAATAACTGGTGATACGCTGCACTTGGAAAATAGCCTTGTGTTGCAGAAAGAATTTTCTAGTAAATGAGTATGATACAAAATATTTAGGTTTCCGGGGCTCAGCTTCTTAATGTCTGACCTAAGTGTCCCAAGCACAAGACACAAGAGAGAAGGAAGGTAAACTGTCTTCATGCCACCTTTGTGGCGCCTTGATTCTGGGGTTAAGTGGGAGGGCATTTTGCCCCTGGAATAATTTAGAGCAGACTCAGGTCTTCCCTATCCCACCTCAGTTGCCTGAGGGCCTCTGGTGAATCAAGGAAGCCAGGAACAGCCAGAGTGCAGAGGCTTTCCAGCCATGCCTCCCTTTTGCTAGCCACACTCTTCACAACAGGGTCTGTAGAGACAGGGTGAATGTGTACAGGAATCTGATTAAGCTGTCTTCCTTATCATGGGGCCTATTCTGGCCTCCTAAACTCAGAAAATGAACTTTGCATTATTTAGGCAACAGTCTAAATTTTCCTTATAACTGTACACCCCTAATACAAAATTACACACCTTTACCCTAATCTGAACATGGGAACAAAATAATAAGCCATCAACTTTTTAATGCTCCTGGTGTAGATATCCAAAACAAAATGATAATCCCTTGAGATGTAATTTAATTGCACCAATGTGGCTTATGGGATTCTGTTTTGGTTGTTGTATTCATTAAATAAATTTATAGAATATTAAAACTTTTTCAGTAATAGTAATGCAATAGTACAGCTGAGTCACTAAACACATAAATAACCATGCTTTGTCACATGCACAAAATATATCCTGACTTAAATATACAAAATGTACACAAAATATTCATGTTGTATAAAGGAGACAGTTCTTGATGGAACTTTAGTAACCACTGTCATAATGATACTCATGTTAGTATATAATTCAAGCTTGTAGTAATAATTTGCATCCATCGATTTTTATTCATTCTATAGAATAGCAAAATGTTATACAAAACCAAGTTGTGGGGTCTGATTTATTAATTAGTATTACAAGTTTAATTACATTTAGTGATAGCATATACCTTTAATGGAAAAAAACCAGAAAGTAGGAGGGGAGAGCATTTTAGGTATTATCCATAATTTCCCCAGAATTTTGATACAATTGAATAGACCGGTTTATCCACCATCTGTATAATGATAAACTGCCATAGTGACTAAACTTTGCTTGAATGCTTTAAATCCTCTGCTAGACTTTTAATGAAATCACTAAATTAGATTGAACTGTAGAAAGGATGAATAAAATAAGGGACCAATCCTGTACTCATTGAAGCCAATGAGAATATTGTGGTGGATATCAAGGGTCCAAAATCAGGTTCCAGATCACTGGCTAGAGCTGTGGGAGAAGACAGAGAAAATGCAATGTTATCTCTTATTTTTAGAATTGCAGTGAAATCCTAAAGAGACCTTTGTTTTCCATCTGCTGTTCTTCACCATATTTTTGTACCCTGATTAGAAATAAAAACAACTATCAGCTTTCCCCCAGGGTCTGAACTCTACTCAGTGCAGATGAGTGTGTGGGGAAGGGGAGGACATCAGGAAGCCAGTTATGGCTTCCTTATTCCTGGGGTGGCCTTTGCTATTGCCAACCTTGGTATAAATTAAAGCAACCTAGAATCTGAAGGGCCTGAGCCAGTGGAGGACCCATAAAGTATAGCTCAGCTCTTCACACTTCCTCCTCCAGCATTTCTCCTAGGATAGATTGGGAGGTGATGGCAGCTGGTGCATGATCCTATTTTACAGTAATGGAAAGTCTTCCTCTGCCAAGGGAATTCTTCAGTGTCCATTTGCAGAGAGAATTTGTCCCCTTTATATCAACTGAGCAGCTCAAAGGGGATAGGTCATATGGGAGAATCCGTCCCAATGACTAAACAAGGCTAGGTGGTGTCAGAAAGGTTAATTAATGAAAATATGTAGATCTGAGCAACAATTCATTGTAAACATGGAATTTCATGGCTTCAGTAGATTTAGTTTGCAGTTATACTGGGTAAATGAAAGCAGAATTTGGCATGGGGAGCACATTTTACCTGTTTCTGTTACAGTTTCTGATCACAAAGCAATAGCTACATTTTCCTCTACAGAAACTGTTGCTGAAATACTACTTGAGAACATTTGCTGTATTTCTATAGAAGTAGTAAAAGGATACTGAAGTAAAATACCACCTCCCTCTCAAACACACACAATCCACTTGCATGCCATTTTTTCTTTCTTAATAAATAATTCCAATTAATTTATATTCTTTTCAACAACTTTTGGAAAGGAAAACAGAAAAGTAAATGCTTAATAGAACAAAAATGATCTTCAAATGGCAATTTGTTAGTTGTAGACTTTTAACATCCATTGTAATTACAATGAATACTAGTGAGGATGTATCTTTAAAATGTGCTCTGTCTCAGAATGGAGACATACGATAGTTTATTATATGTTGTGGTAGTTGCTATAATAATCATGCCTTTACACAGAAAAGCTGATCACTGCTCTTTTGCTGCATACGCAGATAAATTTTGCTTTCAAACTGTGTGGAGTATAAAGACAAATTCTGCCTTCATTTACAATTGTGCAACTTCAGTGATTTAATGCAATGGAATTACATCCATGTAATTTGAGATTTGGGTCAGAGAGCATGAATTAAATTTTCACCATTCTGGTAAATGTTTCTGTTTCTCTTGCCTCCAAATGCAGAAACTCATTCCACAGCAGTACCTGATAAAATAAGACCAGTTGTTAGCGTATATTCATGGTCTCATTTTACATGAGCATGAATCTGGAGTAACTTCAGGAATGCACAGCAGGGAATGGCTCAGGACAACTGACTCAGGTTTACAGGCTCAGGCTGCAGTGTTGTAAAATTGCTCTGTCGACGTCCATGCTTGGGCTGCAGCCTGGGCTCTGGGACCCTGAGAGGAGTCAGGATTCCAGAGCCTGTGCTCCAGTCGAAACCCAAACATCTACACAGCAATTTAACATTCTCGTAGCTTGATCCCCAGGAGTCTGAGACTGCTGAGTCGGGCTAGCCATGGCTATGCTGAGGGTCATTTATTGCAATGTATATGTACTCTATGAGGGCTAATTTTGAATTTACACAGGTTTGTACCAGATAACTTCATGGACACTACTGGATTTTTTGTGGATTTATATCATTGCAAATGATATTAGACAGACTCTTTGGGACAAATTCAGTACTTACTTTCACACCCCAATGCAATAGTTTTGAAGCCAATGGTACTACATGGGGGGAAGAAGGAGGCAGAATTTGAACTCTTGAATTCAATTTCCCTTCCCATTGCAGAGCAGTAAAAGCCTATAATGTATTCCTCATGAACACACTGATTTATATACAGTAAAAATAGTGGCCTGTCTTTGAACTATATTATCAGCTACAAAATCTGACACACTCCCTGTGTCCACCTCTGTTAACAAAAATAATAGAAAAAAGCCAGCCTTTCCCTACTCTGCCATGCTGAATGACATTAGTTTTATATCATCTTCATTTGACTGCTTCAGTGATAGACTAAATCAGAGCATTCAGTGATTATTGGCACCAACTGTTTCTTTCTCCGTCATAGTCATCTAAGACACTAAAATGAACCCACCCAGAAGAGGAGAGCAAAAGATGCTGTAAAGGAGCTTAAAGGTGAATGATAGTAAATTTTCTGTCTTATGGGGTCTTGTTCACTAAACAGAAAGTTCATGGAAGTTCACATCACCACAAAGAATAGGGTGACAAGTATCTGTGACTTACAATCCAAAGGACAGAGAAAACGTACCAAATCATTATCTTCCGGCAGGTATCTCACTGTGAAAGTGAAAGCAAGAGTGTCTAAAAGATGAATAGGCTGAAGAAATTAGATGATAGCTCAAAGACAAGAAAATACAAAGATGTGGTTTACAATAGTGGTAGCCACTGTAATTTAGCACAATGTGACCTTGATCTAATCAGAAAGGTCAGTGAGCAGATTTTATAATTCATCGTGCACCTGGCAACAATGGACTGTATTTTTGAAACCTATGAAATAATATAAGAAATAAGACTTAATAAGCCAACCCATATTCCCTGATACTGTGTTCTTGATTGAGTAAGTATTCATGTGTTACCTTTTCCAAATGACCTTTTCAAAAAGAAAATTAAATTGCTTTTTACCCTAATGATATTGAGTGATTTTTATACCTATTTATTTGATGTAATAACTAAAAATCCAAAATAAAAAGCATCTATCCATATACT